CTTCCCCACTGAGTGACTCGGAGCTTACCCTAAGTTGGGATGATTAGACCATATTCCACCATGATGGCCAAGTGTGGGTTGACTTCACACATATCTTTTAATTTCATCGCAGATATGTGCAGGTTGCATCACGATGTTTTCCTTCACTGTAAGAACATCGCATAAATAGACATATGAAAATCAAAATACACATTGGTACATGGCGGGATTCGAACCCAGGACGTACAAAGTCAAGTGCTTTAACCCCTGAGCCAACGGCGCAACAAGACGACGCAAAGTGTAGTAATTATTTTAATTTCCATAGTGAATAATATACAGGGCGTTCATTGCTTTCGTTTGAAACGCCCTCTATTCAAAGCCTTGACTACTTGCTATAATAGTCTCACCTTATTGCAAGTTATGAAAACACGAGATTAAGAAAAAATATTATCATTGATACAGTTAGCACAGAATGTATCTTATAAACAAGCAAGTGTAATCGATGTAGTCTGCCTTCGTTCGTAGCGCGCCCTCGGCCATTCGCCGCTCCGTTGCCATGGTAACCGACGGAAAAAGTTAAATTATTGTTATTATTATTGCGGTACGAATTGCATTTTTGAAATAAATAAATTGTTAAAAAAATGACCGATTAGTTGGCATAATTTCAGACACATTATTACTAAAGAACACGGTAAAATTAATATTTTTATTTCGTTAATTAAAAAAGTTATTTTTTTAATGTAAAAACCCACTCAGATTAATATTATACATATTATTATACATTTCTTGTAGAATTAGATAATATAAGCCAGGATTTGCCAACTATTTTTAAGACCACACGTCTTATACCTCGTTTTCTGCCGGTTGCCATGGCAACAGCGCAGCATTTACACTGATTTTACCAGATTTGAAGAAATTTTAAGTTTCTAAACCACTTCATGCGGTACACAATGTTTAGAGGGATAAATATTTATGTTTTATATTTAATATTTAAAAAAATATTTGAAATTCTGAGAAATTACGCGCGGAACATCTTTTAAAGTACATAATTCACTCTGGCACTGCGGAGGGACGTTAGTTCCCTCTGCATTTTCTACCGCATATACCACGGGGAGTGCTCTGAAGAATTGTTTGGAACGATTCCTGCCGCCGAGTTCCGTCATCGGACGACACGACAGACCGCCAGGTTCCATCCACACCATCTCGATGGCTGGCAATCCACAACCGTGCGGTTTGCGCGAAACTTCCTGCCTCGCACAGCAGCGTTGTGGAATGGTCTGTCCTCGGCGGTATTTCCAAACCGCTACGACTTAGGGTCCTTCAAGAAGCGAGCTTATCACCACCTCAAAGGCCGGCAACGCATCTGCGGTTCCTCTGGTATTGCTGATGTCCATGGGCGTCGTTGAACACCTCGGTGTTCCCGCTGCTCGTTTGCCCCCTTCTGTTATAAAAAAAAAAACATAATTCAAAGGGAAAAGGGACGAAAAAGCTTAATTTATGATAATAATTATTAAAAACGTTGTTGAAATTCATTTACCAAACAGACAAATCTTATTATTATGTTTAACCTCTATTTGTAGACCTTTTGATGCGTCGGTTGCCATGGCAACGGAAGGAATATATCGTCTATTTTATACCAGCGTGTTACTGAAGAAAATATTCTTGGTATATTATCATTACTAGATAATCTATATATATATATAAGAAAGTCGTATTAGTTACACTATTTATAACTCAAGAACTGCTTTACCGATATGGTTGAAAATTGGTGAGGAGGTAGCTTAGAGCCCGGAGACGGACATACGGTATTATAAATCTTTTTATTTTTATTTTTTCGAGTTTATGCCTTGAAAAGCTTTTATTTAACTTCCTAATATTATAAATGCGAATGTTTAGATGGATGTGAAGTGGATGAATGGATAGGTGTTTGAAGATATCTCTAGAACGGCTGAACGGATCTCGATTAAATTTGGCATACGTATACAACATAGTCTGAAAAAACACATAGGCTACACTAATTAAGTTTTTTTTATATATCCAGGCGGACGGAGTCTCGCGCGACAGTTAGTACCTTCTAAAACAAATCTAAGGCTTTGTCCCTATCTATACATAGCAGGTTCCAGGTTCTCCCATGGAATACAGATGGTGATCTGTGATTTCCAAACTGTCCCAAATGGACACTCGGAGATCAACAGGAGATACTTAGATGTACAATGGGTCATAAATATGAATTTAGGGCACTTAGTAGAAGTTTAAAACTAGTAAAACATTGAAAGGGCTCTACTGTAAAAAGAATGGGGATGTTTGGACGAAAGAAGGTGAGAGAAGGTTTATTTAGTCATGTTTAGTCATGTGATGTAGTACATATTTACTGGTATATACTGTATTTACACACATGCGTAGACTTTTATCAATGTTAGTATATCTTGGCGTAGTATATAAGTGCATTGTGAATGCATTTTTACGCTGCACACACGGACTGATCGCTGTATTCTTTCAGGCGTAAAAATGAATGTTATAAATGAACAAGCGCATCACCGACGATTACCATACGAACCTCAAATCCAGTGAAGTTTTGACTGGTGTTATTATAAAAAAAATTGTGTTAACTCTGTCTTCGCCACAGTAAAGGCTGACGGCCATGGATTGGTGGAAATTGGTCGGTATTTTTTTTAAACGAGATTTTTTATCTGTGGTATTTGTGATGGTGTGCTAGTGATTTTTCTTGTGTAAATAGTGGTTATCGATATAATTATAGGACTGTGGTAAAGGTAACATTAAAAGGAATATTAAAAGATATGTTTTTAATTTATGATAACTTATCATGAATAATTTTGTTAATAACTATGATTGCATGCAATTTTATAGAAGTTAGTAACATAATTAGTAATAAATAAATTAAATAATTGAAATTAAAGAAATATTCATGATAAAAATTACTTCATATATTTTAAAAACAGATTTTAAACGTTTCAAAGCATTGTGAAGAGCTTTATAATTCGTTTTTTTGATTCATACGATTAAGTACAAAGGTGTTTTTCTTTAACTCTAAGTTTTAGTTCTAAGATTTTACTTATGATTTTTTTTATTATTGTTATTGAAACTTTGCAAGTTATTATACTTTTTTTCTCTTAGGATTATTACAATTTGGTTCCGCTTAAACTTCGATGTATTAAAACGTTAAAACATTTTCCAATTTTAACGTTTTAATACATCGAAGAAATCACAGCCAAATATCCTTAGCATTTACATGTATTTAAAATATCGATGGGACGGCAATTACTTTTTGTATACACGGTGAAAATTCATGACAATTAACAGTGATATTTTAATTTATATGCAAGTATTCACGTTTTAAAAGTAAACAAACAAGAACTTTATAATGAAAGTAAAGTGTATTTCATGGGGATGGAAGAATGGAATGTTTGATGAATTTGAGCCGATATTTTGCTTGGTGTCGGTGTGAGGAAGATTGTGATTACTGAAAACATGAAGTGGCTGCTAATAAGATGTTTGATAAAGTGATAAGAGTCTTGAAAGATGAATATGTCCTCATCTAAGGTGTAAACTAATAGTGAATTTCCACTGTCGGAATGTTGTACAAAACTCAATATTCTTAACTTAACTTTTTTTTCCAAATATAATCTGGGCAATGAAAATACTTTTATACAAGTAATTCGAGACTGAAAATTTACTGTGATATCACCAAAATGGGGGATGTCACCGAAGATTAACCGTGGGATTCTGAGACCAAAATTACTTATTTAAAACATATTTTTTTCTTAATTTTGTCAAATATAATGACAGTGATGACGATATATTTATACAGAGATTTTGTTATCATGCTCAAAAACTTATTAGGCTCTTCGTACACATGTATATATTCGAAACCTATTCTAGTAGCTAAGCAACTAAGGTAATACCACCTTAAAGCCCCATACGCCGGCAAGCGTGATCGACATTTCTGTCATCGCCAAAGCCAGATTTAGCAACCAATTTGTCTAGATAGTCGTGAGAGTTTTGTCTGTAATTTTGAAGATGGCGGAGCAAATCTATGCAGTTGACATTTTATAAAAACACATCAGCCGTGTACTCGTAATGCCAACGATTAGTAGTTGTGTGTACAGTGCGCACGAAACGAGATACTCGCGACGCAAGTATTCAATGTTAGTTTCCAAGATTTACGTCGTCTTATGTACGATTGGCCTTACTATCTACTTTAGGGATTATAATGTATAAAATGTTACATTCATTTAAATGTTTTGTTACAGTTGGCTCTTCTTGTTGCTGCCGCTTCCGTTCAAGTTCAGGCTGATGGGTCTAAGTAAGTATTGTTATATTTAAATTCTTCTAATACAAATATTAAAATCATAAGCGAAAATTAGCTGGCGTTAATTTAAACGTAATTCGACAATCTTATTAATTGTTAAGGTAAAGGCGAAATAATGTTAAAGCGAAGCGATATTAACCTCCAATAGTTTGCTAGCGAATGAATTTCCGTGCACTAACTTAAGAGCTTAGTTACGCTAAAATAAATCAGTTAATCAACTGCAACATAACGCACTCAATAGAAAGCGTTAGTCAATTCTTCCTAATATGATGCTTTGTATTGAAAAAAAATAAACAAACGCCTTCTCTAGGAATTTTGATATAAGTCATGAATCAAACGATATTTATTAATTATTCGAGGTGGAGAAAGCAACTACCGCGTCACGCGTTGTGCCAATGACTTTATACGGAACCGCATAAAAAGTAAACAACGAGCTTGCGTGCGATTAGCTACTACCTATCGCAACACACCTCCTCATTTCGCTGAAATTAACTCATTAACATTTAACCTGTTCTACAAATCACGCAAAAACTCATTAACTAGTTTACGATATAAACTTAAGTCAGTAAAGTCCCTTTGTTACAGGAAGAAAATTCGCATACATCTTCCGCAAACGGTGAAGCACATACATCACCACAAGAAGATATACATAACAAATCACCCTGCATCCTCACAGTATGCGCCGGCGTTTATGCCCAACGCAGAGGGTGCGGTTGCTGTGCCCACCAACATTGCGCTGCCGACTGTGGCCAATATCGTGCCGCTGAACTCAGTAGACATACTCGAAGACTCAGTAAGAACACCAGGTCTGACTGCATCCTCTTCCAAGCTTATACCACTTTATCATGCCCGCGGTTACTATGGACCCACACACGCGGAGATAGACGAACAAGAATTCGATTTAGCGTCTATCCCAGAACCTGCTGATAGCTATGTTGTTCCGTCATCTATAATAGCATCTCCACCAGACACAAATCATCATACATCTAAGCGAATCAAGGTAGTAAAGGTCAGTGAACCTCCGCGGAAAAAGATCATCAGAAAAGCCAAACCCAAGAGAATCCCAGTTCGTAAGCCGGTTACTTCGGTACAGCAAGAAAATGAACTTCCCGTGTCAATGTTCCATGAACAGTTTTATTCGGACGTGCAAGATGCAGGTACTATTAGAAAATTCAAAAAACCACCGCGTTTTGAAAAAATCGTAGATGGCAATACCGAGCATATTCATACTTATAGCGAAGAACATATACACAAAGTGGTGTTCGATGAGGAACCAAAATATACTGGGGTTGTCGGTTTAGAACAAATAAGTAGCATACCGGCTTACACCCATTCTTTAATTCCTCTTAAACAAGGTCAAATACTCGCTATGCCTTCGGATCCCTATAGAACTGTAGCCATACCCGGCTCTATGGGAACGCCGGCTCAGTATGAATATGCCGCATACAATCCCCGCGAAGTCACACATGACCACTTCTTTCATGACCATGGTGAAATACCTGAGGAAGTAGACATGTCAAGAGATATTTATAATATCCCTCCAAAAGTGACCTACAATAGTCAAGGTATTCGAATCGATTCTGGTTTACCAAAAAGACTTAAAAACAAGTACACACATAGACCAACGAAAACTTCTTCCGGAGATTATACTTATTATGAAAATATGTATTCATCTAGTCGTGTTAAGCCAACTAAAGCGGTAGCCCCCGCGCCATTGTATGTATCACAAAACGACAATGGAAATCAATTTAAGCCCGTATCAACATATAGATACAAAGACGGCGTAAGTAATAAAGCACGTAACAAAATACCCACATACTTTGGTAAACCAACCCCAGATTATCGTATAAAGAAACCTTCTAATGTCCCATTTTCGGTGTCATCGAAAATTGTGCATGACTATAAACCAACACCACAAACATACTCTGGTACTGCACCAGGTTCAAATGGCTTATTAGCTTATGAAGATCAATTTGCAAATTTTAAAGACAGTTTTGTAAATAACTATGAATACGACAATTACGCCTCTTCATCAAATATACATCAAGCTGAAGATAAAAATCACCATAATACGTACGGTCATCATGTAAGGAAAGGCAAAAAGAAGTCAATTTCAACGCAAAATATCAGATTTGGAAATCAAAATGTAAAATATTCAGAAAATTTAGCAAATGAAAATATTTTTACTGGTGATAATGATGGTGCTCCATCCGCTCTTGATGGTGAAAGTTATGATGAATCAGTTATCTATGACAGCGCGACATCATCAGTGACTGGAAAGGAATCGTCCCCATATCAATATTACACAGTAATGGCAGTAAAAGCGTTAGCTGATGATCAACTAACACTGCCGGAAGCATCGAATAATAATTATCAATACGCGGAAGCACCAACGCCTGCTATTACACCAAATCCGACAATTACAACCACTACCACTTCAACTCCAGAATACCAAACTAACGAGAATACTTTTGAATTAACAACACGACCAAATGAAATCATTCAAGAATACAGATATAGTAAAAAATATCCAGAGAACAACGCAATTACGGTCACTAACGCACCACCACTCGAAAGACATCGAGGTTTGAAAGAAATGAAAAATAGTGATAACTTTCATAAGATCAGGTTACGTTCAAGCGAAAAGTACACAAACAATGTAATATCTAGAACAACGACAGAAAGAAGTCAAGTAAAGTATGGTGATAAAATTTAGTTGAGTGAAAGACTATTTATCGTAGGTATAAGAATCTAGTGTACATATTGGTGATCTTAGTTCTATGTTCGTTACTATGGAGAACCAGTAAGAATGTTTTTTTTATTATCTTACTGTTTTCAAAGAAATATTTATTTGATTTTGAATTGTACGTGTATAAACTTAACGCGAATATAAGTGGACCGAAACGACATAAAAGCATTTTTTTACGAATAAATTTAATTTATCAAAATAGAGAAATTAATTAAAAATGTATTTAACACAATTAAATTATTTTCGTTTAAAGTTATCATCACGAATAAGACTTCATTTAATAACATTTTAATTTTAAGTTTATTAATCCACAGCGCCTATTAAATTAAAATAGCATTAGTGCAAGGAAAAAATTAAAAGTATGAAACAACTGAAGGAGAGATTTAACACAGAAATTATTTTAATTTTGTGTATAAATAAATCACAACATCGCAATCGCCGCAAATTTGTGCACATTGTGTTCGTTTATTTTATATTTTTTTAAAATAACACTTCTTGAAATTATTATCAGACGGTCCATGGTATTTGCCTACCCCTCTTTGTTACCGGCGTGAGTTATGTCATTGTTGTTGTTCAACATATTATCTATAACAATTTAATATTAACTTTTTATTTTTTGTAAATAAACATAGGAAGTACTTAATTTATTTTAAAATTATTAAATCCATCAAAAAATTGGTAGAAATTGAATGTCAACATAACAAAAAAATAAGGAAATGTATAATAATAATAAAAGAAGTTAATAAAAAATGAATTTTTATATTAATTTATAGAAAAATAAAATATAAGTAATATAAAAATAATTCGCACTTTCTTTTGTACTATACTATTGAAGTAGTTATTTTACTTTTGTATATCGAAAATTAGAAATTTTGAAGGTTAATTTTAAAAGAATCTTTGAATAATAGCAACATGCAAATAAAATGCTTCGGAACCTTGCCAACTGGATACATTGTGTTTTACGATCAACCGCATAAATACTAAATTAAGTGTATGTTAGAGATAGAAATTGATTAAAGGAAGCAATTTTCCTTGTCCGATGTTCGTACGTTAGTGAATGGAGCTTTCAAGGTGTGTCAAGATTTACGTAATGATAGTTAAAAGCCCTCTCGTAACTCTACAACTTAACTATAAGATTCTCATATTCTATTACGTAACTTAAAAAGGAGAGCACTCTTTATAGATTACGACATACCTAACTATTTGAATACCTTAATATTTCTCTTTTATAGCAAAATGTGGCAAAAAATCAAGCGGCCAGTTGAAGCCATCATTGTAATTGTAAACATGTTTCCTACCTATAATCGACAGAGCAGGATATTTCCCCTTTCTATTCGTCCCCTCGTCTGACAAGATAAGGGTGCAAAGAGAAAGAGGGTTAAAATTAGGCGTCTGGCATGCACACTCGTCAGACGAAATGCGGAATTGCTTCCACGTCAAAACTCGGTTGTCTTGTTTTGGTAAAATTTTAAGATTATTTAAGGATTACTTTGTTGTTTAAAATTGTAAATGTTTTGTTTGTTTAAAATTACATTCTGCTAATCATCAGTATTTAGTTAAGTAAAGGTAATCTCAGAAAGAAGTGACTAATATGTTTTTGAGTAAAATTACAAGTGTTAAATATTTACCCGATACTCAAATGATAACATATCATATAAGATAATATGTATTCTTATTTATATTATAAACGCTAAAGTTTAGATGAATGGATGTTTGTTATTGTATCTCTAGCACGTCAGTATGGATCACTATAAATTATGGTATAGAACACAATCTAGAAGAACACAATGGCCACCTATAATATTGGAAATGTGTACAGTACCCGTGTCATACGTTTGATTTTCATATTTACACAATAACTCCGTAACCATTCAACGCATCTTATTGAAATTTGTTAAAGACATAGAACATGGCGTCGAGTAACAAATGACATACGTTTCGTACTTTTTCACTTCTGCGCAGATGAAAGGGCGGGCACAAGCTAGTATAAGTATATATACTACGTACTTATATGTATACAAACAGTCGGGTGAACTGTTTTACCGACGCGACCCAAAATCAATACTACACCAGTGAGCGACTCGTCGCTTCTTCGGTGCGCGCTCTATCAGTGAACGAGTAAATAATACAGTTGACGCCGTTCATTCAATCAGCACCCTATAAAGCCGGCGACGCGACGAGATTTACGGCAGGCGAACAACTTGTGTGCGCCGCTGAGGACGTACACAAGTTCTTTGCCTTCATATAATACTATAAAGGGTACATAATATTATGTACTAAAAAAATTACTTCAAGTAATTTTTTTTTTAAGAATAGGTAAATGTTATATATTATTTTACACTTTTGACATTTTATAATTTTTTTTTATATTTTTTTTTCTTTTTTTTTTACTTTTTCTAGTTTTTTTTTATTTTTTATCCAGTGTAAACGTATATGGTGGTATCATCAGTCTATAAAGTGGTGTTTCCCAGTCAGTGACTATCATCAATACAGTACTCAAACCAATGTGGGTATGAATTTTGTCAGTTTGTCTGTGCGTTTGTGGCTGCTCATCTCAGAAACGGCTCAACTGTTTCAGTTATAAATTTCACTGATGTAATTTAGTTAGCTCCATTTAATATTTGGTGTTAATTGAACTTGAAAAAGTCATAAAAAATGATGTTCGATTTAGACAGTTTCAGAGATTTTTATTTCCAATTTAATTATAACAGTGAGATCTATTTTATCAAATAGATGTAAGTTCATTTTGATTTTTTTTTGTATTTTGTGGCAATATTTCGATGGGTATACCTTGAAGGCGCGAGAGAAGCTGTGCGCGAACGCATACTTCGCTTTCGCCTTCATCCGCCTCTCGCTGTCACTAATATTTATTATTTGTATTCAAACTCATCTGCCTTATAAATGTCTGCTAAATACTAATAATTGTAATCTGACTATGAATTGATTGATTATTATTTTTTGTATAACGCGAGACATCATCATGATCATATCAGCCACATATCGCCCATTACTAAGCATAGGCCTCCCCCGATGATCTGCGCGTCGATTTGTTCTCGGTTGCCCTTATTTATTATACTCCCGCAATCTTGAACATGTTATTTAAGAACCACTTATTCGAATGCTACATTGAACCCGTCCGTCAATTGAACGTGGCTCCGTCATCCACAGGCGTTGTTAAATTGGTTCAAGGCCTAACTAATATTGTCCAGACTGACGTCCGAGATATCCCCTTTGTAGTGTCAATATTACTATGTTTTTGTTAAATTTTATTTTATTATTTATATATATTTATTTATTAATTTAGGAATACCAACAAAATATGTTACATACAATTTTACTTAGTACATAGATTACATGATAAAGAGTAAGCTAAAACATATTTAAATTACAGGCAAACACAACATTCGTGTAAATAAAGAAAGTACTAGAGAAAAAAAAACAAACCACCATCATATGTAAATCGGCATATGTAGTGCTTTATGCTCTTCGAAACCTGTCTATTTAGAAGCACATACTCATTCCGCATTATTGAAGAGGGTAGCGTCGTGTTGCACGTTTACCCCATGAACCGAAGAGTGTAGTCTGAGAGTTCCTTACAGCTTCTACCTATCCTCGCTGAGCTGGATGCAGTTAAACAACGATCATAAAAATTAGAAAGAAGACGAATCGAATGATATCTCACTAAAAAAATTCGGTAAAGTTGTTTAGGCTCTAGGCCGCCGCAAAAGAACTTACACACGTAAATCATCATACATAAAATAAATTTACATACGGGCATAAAACTTTTGTCAGTTGGGTAATAAGATGACCCGTATACGCTTAAGACGTAAGAGCTCGTGAAGTTAATGGAAAATTTGCTTGTTTTAATTAAAGGTTGTATGAGTGCTGTTACATAATCAGTTCCGCCCTCAGTGAACAACTTTCAAAGCCAAGAGTTATATAAAAACTATTAACTCTTATACGATATTAATATTATAAGCGGCTTTATGAATTTGTACTTTATGAAATATTATAAAGAACTTTATATCTGTATATTTTTTTTACAATCCCAATAAATGTGACCAATTTTCATAAATTAAATCGATATATAGCTGGTTATATTTGTTTTTCTTTTGTTTTCCTTTTTTTGTTTCTCCTACTTTCTTTCTGTGGGAATAAATGAATAACGAAATTCTTTATTCAGAAGCATGTATTAATGCATTGTGTTATCTCTATTTTATCAAAGATAATGAAAAGGACAACAGATAATAATACCAGTGTCACGCCAGTGGTGTTCTACGGTAAGATAATCATTATAATGAGAGGTCAAGTAGCCTATCTAATTGGCCCTGACCACCAATCTTGTGTGGCATCAGGGACGTGAGAAACAAAGCCTTTAAATAAACTGCAGTCACAATGAAAAGGATACTCTGTCACTTTAAGGTTAAATACACACGGTACGTTTTCTTACCGTGACCGGATGCGGCCGCAGGGACCTAATTTCCAAAACGCGACGGGTGATTTGTCGAATCTACGACTACGGTTCTTACACGCAAGCAGAAAGTCATATGTAATTATGTACTTATTAAGCATCAATGGAAAGTTTGTTTTGCTCTTAACAGAAGCTTTCAATACTCTGTGTTGCCTCTTATGGACAACACAGAGTATTGAGTAAGATTGACATTATAATCACAATGTCTGTTGTGTGTTCTGACACATAGGGATAGACGTGTGATCCTATGGCCATCAAAGAATATATGTCAAATACTGTTTAGCATCTAAGATTTTTTATTAAATAATAATCACACTTCTGTTAGGTTACATATAAAGAAAATGTGGTAGCGCGTTGTGACGACTTTTACTCTATTTTGGCTAATTTTGATTGATCATAAAGCTACACGACGTTAAATATATGGGCGACACTGGATATATACTTTAAGACATTATTAGTTAGAATCCTTTGGCGCGAATGGCTCGCGTTCATTACC